TTTGGAAAAGCTGCCGTTCCACGGGTCTGTACTAACAGAAAATACATTTCCACTATCCTATTATGGTTAAAAATATAATTTTGTTTGCTGAGCCTTGTGAGTGGCTTGCGAGTGCTGTAACACACTGCAAATGTGGCCCTTTGCCTCCCAAGCATGTGACGGAACAAAATGAGTTTTAGGTCAGCCTGGCATCACTGTCAGTTTCCTGTCCTGTCACAGGACATTGTGCAAGGTTTCTCTCTCACACATAAACACGCACACAAACATACACGAACCTGGCGTGCCCATCACCTCGCGGAAGGGGGGACATTGTCACACAGACTAACTGCTTCCAGTGCTGTGTTTATTGGCCTGTTACAGAGTTGTTAAACACAATTGTGTGGAATACCAAGCACGACCCTGCACAACCTCAACTGAACTTTTTCTCCTGAAGCTGAGACATGAAACACACATAATCACACTTTTTGCTTTGACCTGTGAATAAAGAGAACATTTTTTTCCTCTCCTTATTTTTTTTTAAATTTTTTATCTTTTGTGCTTTTGTGCAATGTGTGCAACAGTGCCATAATGCTAAAACTGAATTCCATTTTGCAGCCTCTCCTCTCCTCTCCTCTCCTCTCCTCTCCTCTCAGGTTTAATGTCCTCACTTTGCTCTGGTCACTTCTACATCCCTACACAGACTTTCCACCCTGATTCAGTGCCTGCTCAGCAGTGAGAGGAACAAAAGGACAGATGCATTGGAGGTTAGGGTGATGGAGGGATAAATGGATGTAGAGTTGGTCAGGGAGAAGAGATGCTGTCAGTGGTTTTGGCAGTGGTCAACGCAGTGATGCATATGGGACATTCTGACCTCAGACTATTTCTCTCTGCTGGATCTGTCAGCAGTGTTCAGCAGTGCCAGTGTGAGTGCTTGCCCTTTGTTGCCCATGTCGTCTTTGTTTGGATACTGTGTGTCTGTCTCTCTGCATGTGTGTGAGTCACAGCTCAAACATTAGACCACAGAGGGGGGGCCTTGGAGAGGTCTGCGAGGTTAAACCAGGGTGACCTGCTGTACACATAGTACAGGGTGGAGGATAGCCGGTCAGCTCTGAGTTCATGTTCCTCAGAGCATGTGACAACTGCAGAACCCAGGATGGGCATTTTATGTTCTTTTTGTGTCAATATGTTTGACTAGCATTTTGGTACATTTCAGCAAAAAATGTTTGGCATGAAGGTTTGATATGGTTTAAATGACCATTAGAGAAAGCAGTTGTCTCCCTCAACATTACTGTATTTGAGTTGAATTGAACATTCCTGTTTTCTTAGTTTCATGAGGTGTTAATTGAGGACCAGCTTTTTATTGCCTTAACATGATGATAATCCATGTGGCAGGTATTTTAGGTGCATGCCACAAGGAAATGAATTCTGCACCCGAGGATGAGGTATGTAGTCTGTCTCATTATCTCTTCCAAGGAGGTTTTCGTTTTGGTTCCATTTGTTTCTGGCTCATGGAACAAGTGACTAAACTAAACTAAAATAGGATTTTCTAAGAATAACCTCTGAATATCTCGTTCTCTCTTGAACTGTTGTACTTTTTCAAAATCTGGCACATTTATCCCTTGATTGTCTGTCACAATGTTTATTTTACTCCAGATCCAGATAAAGTCAGAACATTCCTAAACATTTTCTGCCATTAAAATAACAAATTTAGACCATTGTGCAGCTTTGGCAGACGCATGCTCTCTTTGAACACTTTGTAGTTTTCATTATATTTTGATCTTACTGTACTTGTTTACTATATTTATCTTGGATACAACTCCAGCAAGTGACTGTGTTGCCTTCTGGAGTAGGTATGGATTACAATAAGAAGTTTGTTCTTGGACTCTTTGGCCCCACAGACTTCAGCGAAATGTAATCCAGACCCTGGCAAGATATTTGTCTACCGGTGCAGCTATTCATCGACTTGCTGTGGCATTGTTTTCCTTGTCTTTCTGTGCCGTTATCCTCATTCGAGCAACTGTGTGATTTGGAGTCAGATATTCTTCAGCAGGGCCAGAATTTGGTCCCCAGCGTGTCGAATACCCAGGTCACTGTTGTTGTTCTTATCTACCCCGTTGACCTTAACTCCCTCAGTCAAGGGAAAAGCAAATGTAGCTTTAATCACCACCCTCAGATGAACTTGTGTTCTGTTGCCATTGTGAATTACAATATGTTTGTTTCTGTGTTTTTGTGGCTTTTATTAGCTGTCACCAATAGGGGGAAAAAGGAGGGAAAAAAAGCCAACCGAAGATTAATTTAGTATCACCCAGATTTAGGACTGACATACCATTTTCTTTTCCATTACATACTTAGGCCCTTTGAAGCATTTTGAGTCTTTTTGCTATAGTGTAAACATCCAGAAACAGTGGTCGCTATGCCCACTGAATGCCATTCAATTGTCTGACTTTTTCCTCTGTTGTCATCTGTGAGATGTTATCTGATTATTGTTAGTATTTCGCTGTGTGATGTGGTGAGGCTGCCGCTGCCATACACTTGACATCATCTTTGGTTTTGTGTTGCCATGGGGAACAACCCAAAAGCATTGTAAAGACAAATGCAAACACCACGAAGCAGTGTTACAGTATGCTTTATTGTACACACTCACCACCGATTATGGAGTAAATTAATGCAGTAGTTGCCCATTTTTGTCTACCCCACTATTGTTATGGATACATCCTCTTGTGCCACGACTTGGCTCTCTTTTTCTTTGCTTAGATTTTTGCAATAGTGCAGCAAACCAGTTATACGTCACGCAACTTCTTTCTCTATGTAGTTATAAACAAAGATCTACTTCATATTTAACTGTTATTAAATAAAAATCTCATAATTGCTAGTAAAATATTTTGTATAAAATGAGGTATCTGGTGTAATAAAGAATTCTCAAGTGCCATTTCCTTCAATATTTAATCAGGGTGAACTTTCATCAGTGAGGATTTATTTTGTTGTTTAATATTTGGCAGTGATTATGTATAAAAGTTTGACTCCCAAAGTTTGATATATGATGACAGATTTAGTCAACCATCAGACACAGTGTGGGAACTAAAATAATTGAGGTAGCTGTAATTGGGCATTACCGTTAGTCTGCCTGGTGGTATAGCTGTCTGAAATGACCCATTTGAAAGAGCAAATGTTTAAGCATTAAATTACATTCTGTTTATTATGGTTGAACTTTGTATGCATCTTTATCTCTGACATTTATAGAGTTACTGCATATATATACTCAGATATACATTTCCATGCATACCTTAGAACTACATTTAAACTTAGTTCTGCATAACATTAGTCCTGAAATGATTAGTCATTTAATCCATGGCAAAAAAGGAAACAATTTTGAGGATAAGATTTTTTGAAATTGTATTTAGACAAATAGTATTTGATACAGAATAGATTACTGAATAGATGATTTCCAATGCTCCTGATTTCCCCATACTGTGTCCTTGTCCTTCATACAGGCACACCCATTAGCCAGTTCTAAACACATTTTGATGGTTGCGAAAGAAAAAAAAAAGCCCAAACAGAAGAAGAGCTAATATGTAATAACGTGTATGACTAAACCAAGATGTCCAGCAGGAGAGCATTATCTTCAGGCAGTGACCTCAAAGTACAGACCAGAGCCACGGTGTTTAACCCGGCAGTTTCCGTGTGTCTGCCTGCTTTACAGCTTAACCCTGCTAAGATCTGCACCAGACCAGGCAGTGTCAATGAATTTTCTCCGTGCGTGCCAGCTCTTAAAAAAGTCAAAGCCTTATGTGTCAGTATGCAAAAGTGTTCCGATTTCAAACCCCTCTTTGAAGAGTAATCAAAAGAGGAAGCAGCGTGAGATGAATGTGTAACCATATCTTCCCCTCTCTTTCTTTCTCTCTTGCTCTCCTCCTCTCAATCTCTCTTTCAGTCTTTTTCTCCATCTTTGCTGTTCTTGCCCTCTCTCGACTCCTGTGAAGGCAAATGAACTGGCCTCCACATACAGGCCTGTCAGAGGAACTCCAACATTTGTGCATGTGAAAAAAGCTGTACAAGTACATATGTACAGTTAATCAGTGCATGTTTATGTGTGTGTGCACTTTATGGACCAAACACAGCATGTATTTCACTGTAACAGTGCGTTCTCATTAAACCAAGGTGCTCTTTACAGCAGACACGAGTTTCTCTGACTGAGACAGACCCATACGCACAAGTGTCTGGTAGCACCTGCTGTTTGCCCCCTGGACCCTGTACTCCTTTCCTTTCTGTTAACTGGTCTTTTAAATCAGTGGAGCCCCAGTGTAATGGAAAAAGACAAAGCAATGTTAAGGCTCACAAAGGTTTAGAGCACTTGTCCACTTACTGGCTACTGGTTACTGACCTTGTGGCTTGTAAATTTTCTTCTTTTTTTTTGTTAACTGAAATATGTGTGACATAATGCATCTGGAATTGGTCTCAAATCCTTTAAAAAAAGACTTCAGAAATGATTTAAGTTCAAGATGTAACTGTCAAAAGTCCCCAAAGTTGTAAAAAGTGTTCTGTTTCCTAGATAGGGAATTTCCCGTTGTTTTTAAAAGAGCATCCAAAGTCTCAAATTCTGCTTTAAAAAGTTTTTGAAGGATAATTCCTCTGTTGAAAGCAGAACTAAAACATATAGCATATATAGTAATTGCCCTATCATATGTTGCACAAAGTTTAGTTTATCATCAACATCAAGCAAAACAGCATGCATGACTAAATCTGGGATGGACTGTTTCTCTTTTTTAAATCAAGGAAAGTTTTATTAAGCATGTTCAGGCTTTTCCAGCAACACCCAGAATTTAGCACACACTTTTTCTTAGGTCCTTTCCATTGCAGTCCCAGTCCATAAATGTTGCCTCAAAGCAGTGACCCTTGAACATTTGGACAGTTCACTGAGAATTTTTTAGGGCAGTTGAGACAGGTGTGCGCTTAATGATCAAATGGCGCTGAAATGGTTAACATGATTTCATGTGTCTCCTATTTTTTTCTCTCTTTTCCAGTTGGAGCTGCAGTCATGCTGTGTGTTCCTGCCTAATGACAGCCTCCCCTCTCCCAGCACCATCATCTGTGGTGACATTCCCGGCACTGTCCGCAGCTGGTACCACAACCAGGCCTCCATGCCGGGGACTCTGGTAATATGCCTGCCCCACATTAATGTCCTCAGTGCTGGGCACAAGTACATGGAACCGCTGCAGGAGCTCCCCTTTGTGGTCTCTAAGCCCATCTTGGAGGAAGGTAGATTTTCATATTGCATCTAAACTTTAATTAGTATGACTGAAATGCCTGAAGACAAACAAAGACCCAGACACACAGTAAGACCACCAAATGACCTGATGTCAAAAAGATTGATTTGAACGTTTAAATGAGAAACAATGATGGTGATAGGTGCATAGGTAAATATGGGAGTCTTGGAAACTAACTTCCAATGGGTGGGAACATGTTTTTTACTTAACTAATTAAGTTTTGAAATATCTTTTATTAATGATTGAAATGAATGGTTTCATAATAGTAATAGGCTATCTAATGTGAATTCATCATCATTATGGCCTTTTCAACACCGAACAAACCTTTGACCCACTACTACTCATTTACCATGACAAAAGACAAACAAACTTAAGTAGAGCGACTTTGAGAGATAGATCTTAAACATGTGGTGTGCACACCTGGTAGAGTTGACACAAGCAACACTTAGTTGGTGGAGCTGTGTTTTTTCTTTAAAAGAAGAAAAAAGGAGGGGGCACCCTCCTTTTTTCTCTCAACTTTTCAATGACATCAGCATTGGGCATACAGATTTCAAAAACGGAGGAGAAAGAAAAACGACAGCGAAAACAGTGACATCAGCTGCCTTGTCAGTGTTGCAGTGAAAATTAACAACCCGTGCTTTTAGTAATTCATTCCTACCCTTTGAAAAGCTCTTCACCTCTCATTTTCAATGCTCTGGATCAAAGCATCCTGCCCACGGCACATGGGAAATGTGCTCTTCATAGCCCTGTGCGAGGGAACATGTTCCTCTTCTCCGTAAGACTGTTGTACTAGAGTCAGCAAGTAATAGGTTTAAGCACTCCAGCATGCCATCTTGTCCCCACAAATTTTGAATAGACCTTCATTTAATTTGGGTTTTGGTGGGATCCTCTGCCTGCTTATTGGGTATAGAAGGTTATTATAGAGACCAGATACTATGTCTTCAAGCTTTTTTTTTTTCTTCTTTTCCGAGAGGATTTTCCTTCCCATGTACAGTAATTAACTTGGATTTTGTGTGTCTGAGGCCAGGCACTATCTATCTAATGATAATTTAAGTGGGTTGCTAAAGGTCTAGAAGTGCCCCTACTAAATCTGAAGTCTGAGTTAAACAAAATATAAACATTTCCAAATTAGAAATAGTCTACCATCTCGGTTCACCAGCAAAACTACAGCTTGGATTTCCTAAATATAGCACAGGAATTCTACACAGCTTCACAGTTTTATACAACAACAACAACAACAGCCTCTTCTATACATCTAATGTGAAACTGTTATGGTAGGGACCTAAGAGCAGACTTGAACAAGAGAAGAGGTGAGTATTCCCCAGTATTACTGTATGTGCCTGTGCTAGAACCATTAGGCAGCACAGAGGGTTACCACCATTTTTCTGTCTCCTTGAATTTTTTATTTTTATAAATACCACAAGAAATACAACTTAGATTTTTAAAAGTAAGTGGAAGAATTATTGTATTTATTTATTTATTTGTTTGTTTGTTTTTACTATTTTTTGCTAATTTACATTACTGACTTATCAATCTGGTATTTTAAGCCATTGTGCTTTTTAGTCCTTTTTCCAAAACACATTTGAACTTTATTTATTGAACTGTTCATCCCAATCTCAAATTACTTTCCATGTGCTCTTTGCTTTCACAGCACATAATATCTCTCATATCCTCCTTGCTTCTCTCAGTCTCTACTGGTTGTAGTTTTCTCTCGATTTTTCATCACGTTTCCAAATTTTTATGCATTTCTTTTTCTTTCTTTCTCCTGTATCTGCCCCCAGGTGATGCCTTCCCATGGACAATAAGCCTGAGTCAGTTCAGCATATACACATTGCTGGGACAGCAGCAAAGCCTGAGCCTGTTGGAGCCTATGGGCTGCACCTCCACGCTGGCTGTCACATCCCATAAGCAGCAGAGCTGTTCTGAAGGAAGGCACTCGTTTGTAGTCTGCCTCCATGTTGATCTACAGCCTGTTCATGTCAAGTGCTCCAACCCTCAGGTCAGCCAGACAGTCCTGAAATTCACAAAGTAGTCATTAGAATTACATGTGTATTTATACAAATCATCTCCTTGTAAACTTCTCTGAAATATGAACGCACGAACCCTGGCAGGAAGATCCTGCCGCTGCATGATTTTCTGATATAGATTGACTTTAGTAAACAGACTGTCTCATCTTCTTACCTTGTATAATATTCATGAAAATAGAAGTGTAAACATGAGAGTGTTGCCTTGTTTGTTTTGGTCAAACATTTTGAGGTCTGAGTCAAGGAGAGCGGGGAACTGCAGGACTTATCATCATTGTTTTACAGTGAGTTATTATGTTTTAGTGAGAGTGTGATGAATACGGACAGATTGAAAATGGAACATGTTTGTCTCCCAGTTTGGTCCTTGTATTGTTTTTCATTGTGCTGTTACTGCACCATAATCACATCTACATGTACCATTACACATGTTTTGTTTTTGCACAATTGAATTAGCTGTATTGAATTAGGTTCTTCTGTAAACACTTAATTGGGGCGACCTTTTGCGTGGTCACACTGTTAAATGTCTCCGACCACAGTGATGAGCCATGGTGATATTGAGGGGAATTGGTACCAGAAGCAAATGAAAAGCCTTAATCTGCTGGTGGTGAAAACTTTCCCAGAGATGAGGAGAACTGGTCATTTATTGAGGGAAAGTTTTTCTTTTTTTTCTTTCTTCTTCTCTGTTCTTCCTTTCAAACGGAGTGCCTGCATCTGGCAAAAAGGCAAAGGCTTATTGCGTTTATGTGATGAGTCATTATTAGTTTTTGGATTTGATGAAAACTTCTCTTCTGTTGTAGTTCCTCTTTTCTCTCATCTTCTTACTTCCCCTCTTTTTCTGTCTTTTCTGTGTAAATTTCTGAGTTGGGGCTAATGCAATTTTAAGTCTCCCTGCAGCATTGTCAGACGTCCACCCTCTTGAGAACAAAAAAAAAAGAAACAAAACCTGCAACACTATGTAGTCTTCTTTCTAATTACCAGAGCTATTTGTGGGAATGTGTATGAGGATGTCAGAGCACTGCACAGTTCCGTATCACCTACGCAGGAATTCGGTGGATGGAGTGACAACTAGAATTTCAGAATCAATAAATTATTTTCACACTGATTTTCAGGCATTAATACATTTACTGTAAACAAAGAAAACTGAAAAGTTTGGCCTCTTCTCTTTCCCTGGCCTCAAAAGCTACATTTTTGTGACATTAAATCAGATTTTCCATTACATGTGATGAATTACTTCATAGCAAAAACAAAGGTATTTTTAGAAAGTGGGGTGAAACAGTCAAGCCTTCCAGTGAACAGTGTTACATTTTTACAGGTATCAAAGGGTAATACAGACACAAAAAGTAATAAATGTATCCGTTAAAGTTGCTCTATACATAGACACGCATGTCTTTAAATGAATTTTTGAGAATGCATGGGTCCAACTATGTTTAAGGTAGACAGTGAAGAACAAGTGTTTGAACATGTAAGGAAAATATTGAGAGTAAAATAAGGGATAAGCAGGGGTAAAGAGTGTCAGCAGCATGCAGACACATAATCATCCTCACACATATACCAAATGCCTGAAAATAAAGGAGCAAAAATGGGAGAACAGCTGAACTGCTTTTTCAGCACAGGTTCATGTCATTTTAATGCAAAACACTCAAGATCAAATGACACATCCTGGCACAGAATGGAGCATACAAACCCACACATAAAAGTCTTTTATGTTCTGCTTAGAGATGCAGATGAGTTATTCAACATCATAGATCAAAGTCAAAGTAATAAAACTGTACCTAAACAGTAAACTACCTTTTAATTGGAGCGGTGTTTAAATCAAATTTACATAACAGCGCGTGTTCTTATAGCACAAATATATCTCCAGTCTGATTTTATGTGTCTGTTTGAATGATTCATGTGGCTGTCAGAAGGACGGAGTTAGTAGTTGTACTTTTGTTTTATCAGGACCACCTTGAAAACAGCCAATACGAGCACTCACACATACACAGCAACTGTTTTCTTTGACCTTGAATACATAACTGTATAGCATTTCATTGAACACATGTGCACACGCATACACACATCTGTTCACATATACACACAGAGCTACCACACATACTCAACAACATGTCATTTTTGTGAAGTTTTTATATAAACTGTACTTCGATAAAAGCACACGAACACTCGCCATCTGCAGGCTCTCCTGTCCTTCTCCATCTGTGTGTTTTTATGAATGACTGTGGAAGCCTCTGTTCAGTCTCCAGTTTGTACTACTGCAGCCTAGCAGGCCTCCTGATCTGCAGATGACAGGTCTTTGGAGAACCCAGCCCTCCAAATGTTCTGCTCACTTCCCAAACTCATGAAATGTGGCATCTGTGTTGTGAACTCATGTAAGTGTGTGTGTTTGTTTTTGTGTTATTGTGTGTGGCCCAACCTGCCCACTGACCTAACAGCAGTAGCTGAGCCGAACCAACTGACCCTGCTTACCACTGAGCAGGAATATCACGAGGTATAGGGGGGAGCAAATGGCAGAGGGAAGGTTGTAAGAGGATAGAAATCCCTCAATCGATATTACAATGCAGGAACGACAGTGAGAGAAACAAAAGTTTATATGACACCAGCGACGAGAGGCTGAATGGAAGGAGTTAAAGATTTGCTAAAAAAGTCATCATAAAATTAGGGATAAGACTCAATTAAAGACACTCTAGCAGAGGTCAAGTAACAATTTTTTTATTTTTTTTAATCTCCGTCTCACTGTACACACCCCTTCTCCTTTCTCCTCTGCTCAGCATTCTTCACTGTCTTCTTCCACATCTGCTGCTGAGTGCAATAGGCCTTGTTGTGCTTGGTTGGAGTTCCAGGCCCCAAACTCTGAGAGCAGGGAGCATGGCGCTGTACCTCCCCTGCCGGCAGTGCAGTTCGGCTGGGTATGGCAGACAGCTGTTGGCCCTGTCCCTGGACGGCGGCTGGATTGGCGTTAGCAGCTCTTCCTGGACATGTTTGAAATGGCCCAGCTGTAATGCATTGTGCTGCTTTTAATTTGATTTATGCTCATTTGTGGAAGGCCTCCCTGCAGTGTATGTGTGTGTGTGTGTATGGGTGTGTGCGCGCACGCTCACAGGAGTGCATGTGGGTGAGCGAGCAACAGAGGGTAAAAATGTGTTTAGAGTATTGAGGAATCTTTTTTGTGTGCATGCTCATATGTCTGTGCACCTTTAAGTCGGAGGGACCCTCGGCGGAGGGGGTTAGCTGGCTACAGAAGCGAAGCATTCGAAATCCAGAAATTAGCTCACTGTGAAAGCGTGTTGCTTTTCTCCCTTTCTTTCCCTCTCTTCCCCTCCTAAAAAACACAGAGCGAATGCATGAATAAGTGAAAGCATCACATCACATTCCCCTGCTTTCCTCTCATGTTTTCCACTCTTGTTTTTGGCTTTGTTGTTGTTTAAAGCTAAGGCCTCTTTTAATGTGAACACATGATAAATAGTTGAGAGCTTTCAGTTTTTCCTAATCGTGGTGAGTTTTTCAGGGGAAATTGATGACACAACTTAACTTTCCTCTGTGGGTGTTTCTTTGGAAGTTTTGTTGTTATGGATAACAAATTTGTACAGTGAAGCACGTGTATGAGCATGCTGTGCCTTTCAAATAATGACCCATCGAACAGAAACATGAACACAGAGGTTTTACATCACTTTTGTGAAATGAGGCCTCTCTGAATGACAAGCACAGAGCCTAAAGTGTGTTAAGTTGGAGACTGAAAGAAATGAGAATGGATAGTGGTCCATTTCTGGCTAATATTTCCTTCTTCTCTCTTTCCTTCTCTCTCAACTTTAACTAGGTTTAGTGTCACATAACTACAAAGCTGCCAAGCTAAATCATGGTAATGGCCTCAGAAGTCAGAACTACATGAGAACTCCCCAGTGCAGCTGTTTGAGTCAGACCTTGGCAAAAATGCATTTGAATCTGGTTTCAAATATTAAAACTACTTGTGGTGTGTTAGGTTTATCTTTTAAAGCACTCAATTGGCACAGTATACTTTGTATATTGAAAGTGTATTCAGCTGTGTCACCATTGTCAATTTTTGTGCATATAGCTGTTTCTTTTGTGTGTCTCGGGTTTTCTAGACGAACATGCTCTCGGATTTAAGAAAGAAATGAATTGATTGACATGAGAAGCCCGCATTATAGTTTCTGCTTACATTAGACTATATCGTATGGCATTGGGTCCCAATCAATGTGAAGTGTATAATTCCTTCAAGATGCAAGCTCTTGCATTGGGAGTTAATGTTCTCTTGTTTTTCTTTTCTCTGCTTTTGTCACTCTCCAGGTCCAACTGCTGTACGAGCTCCTCCTCAGCTGGAGCTCTACGTGGGCTCGTCTCCAGAGACATGGCATTTTGCGTCAGACTTCCAACATCCCAGACCCCCCTGCTGGTGCAGCTCCATCCTCCCCAGTGCGCAGCAGTGCTGGCACCGCCCTGCCTGATACCAGCACCTGCAGCCCCTCTGCAGATTTTGGCTCACCCACTGAGGTTTGTTTTTCTCTCACAGCCACACAGTCCATTTATTCAGTTTAGTTTTGTCAGACACTAGAATTTTTCACCTGGGCAAACCTTTTGTCATAATCAGGAAAAAAAAAAACTTGCCCTTATTGCATCGTGGAACATTACTTAATGTGCTCTTGCTGTGAAATGGTTTACTATTTAATTCAGCCATTCATTTGTGTGTACTTGTGGGTGTTTTTTTTGGTCGTACTCCTATTATTGCTCCTTCTTCTATTACATCGTTCAGTATCGGTTACTCTTGAACTTTCTTGTCATTGCCAGTCAGTGATTTTCCTGGTTTCGCTCCTTTCATGTTGTGCTACTTGATTAATAAGAGACCTAAAGACTACACCCTGCAAACACCCAGCTCTGTCTGTTTTTTCATCTAAGGTGTTATGAGTCATACAGTAACACATGGTATTTAAGCCATTGTTGTATACATAGTTCTGCGGCTGATTTATGATTTTAAGTGCAAATATTGTTTTTTTTTTTTGTTTTTTTTTTGTTATGAGTAGCTGAGTCAGAGCTAACACATGCGATTTGTCTGAAAAAAATTATGTTTTGTTTGGGAAGGATTTTTAAAGCTGGAAAAATCTCATCAGTGCTAGTGTTTCTTACATTATTTTTTCTTACCCAGAGCAAATACTCCAGATAGGCTGCAAGCTCTGTTTGATTCTTTTAAGCTGAGGTTTGATTTAGTATAAACCTGCCTCTTAATTTGGAGAAAACAATAACTTGTATTTACATTTCACTCAAATAAAATATCAAACTCAGAGAATGAAGTATAAAGTTCAACAATCCATGTAGGCCTGTTTAAAGCCAATGGAAGAATTACAGTCACTTTTTTTTTTCTTTTTAGAGGGCAGCATCAAATGTTATTTTTCCTTTTGTCCCTAGGTGATGCTTACCTCAGGCTTAGTTAATGTGACAGGCATTTTTCTCCTGCCTGGTATAGTTGCAGCATCAGTGACAAGCTGGGGGTCCGTGACCTTGGGGCCTCAGCCACCAGGGCGTTGGATAATATGTGTGTGTTCGTGTGAAGCAGGAATATAGGATGTATAAAAAAAGATGGTGACTGTTGATGAGTGTTTGTGTTGTTAAGCGGTGGCAGCTAGCCTAGAATATAATGCTCTTTGACCACCAGCCCCCTGTCAGCATTGTGGGGCCCCGGGGATCACAGAGCAACCATCATACCGCCCTGAGAGGCAATAAAGTGTGTACATGCTGGTGGAAAAAAAAGTGTTTCATATGTCGATGTGCATCTGTGTCTGCAGTTGTTCCTGTGTGATCAACATGTGTGTGTTCTTGCGTCATTTGAGGAGGCAGTAGTTCAGCGCGGCAGTTTAGGACCTATGGTATAGTGCGTCTATAACAAGGCCACAGTGGCCTCTGACAGCCCACTTGTCACTGTTTACCTAAGTACAAACACTGGTAGAAGTGTTTAGTCCTCTGGGAGGCTCGGTGATTGAGCAAGAATGTAGGAGCTGTTTTGATAAATCTCAGCAGTAGTGGCAACAGTCTCTCCCCAACAACCCCCACCCTCTTCTTCAACAGCTACATCCACGTCACACCCCTAAAACCTCAGCTCTACAGTACTCTCCCTTCAGCTATAGAATCACAGCTTTATATTTATGCTTTCATATTTCGTATAAAAATGTTTTACTAGTGTCAGTTAATTGATGTAACATGTTATTTAGTTAAAGGGGTTCCCATCAGTCTTTTTTCTCTTCCCCTGTCTCTTGTGCCACCGCTCATCATACTTTCTATTTCTCTTTTCTCTCATATTACCTGACATAATACTCTCTTATACCTGAGCCACCTCAACCTGACCATACCTTGAACAACATTCCTTCCAAATCCGACTAGCCAGCTACAACCTCAAAAACAGACTTCTTACAAAATTTACAAGAACGATTTACTATGCAGAAAAATACCCTCCTGCAATAATGACTCACTGGGATATCAACAGTCAGGTCCTGTGACATGTTCAGTTCTGTTTCAGTTTTTTTTGTTTTTGTTTTTTGGTTTCTCCATTTCTGTAATTATGTGTCTTCCTAGTCTGTCTTTCCTTCATCTTCTTTCAATAAAGTCTTTCCTTGCCTTCTTCCAAGTATTCTGCATCCTTCATCCTCCCACCTGTCCCTCAACCATTCTCTCTTTCCATTCTTCTTTCATAATCATCCTTTTCCTCAATCTTTCTTTGACACTTCCCAACCTGCTGTTGTCTTCCAATGTTTGGGTCTCTCTGATGAGCAAAGACAAACTCTGCAGAGAAAATAAACCCGGATCCTCAGCCCGTTTATAGGACAGAGGCCCAGGAATTAAACTGTATACTTTACAACTTGGCTTGCGGAGGTGTGGGAAAATAGCTCCCTCTTAGAATGTGTGTGATTGTTTGGGGCCCCGATCTGGCAGCTCAAGAACGTGCAGAGCCCACCTCTACCGAAACCACACTACCATCTGTTCAAGACCTCACCTTGATAAGATGCTGAAAAATAGTGACCTCAACTTTGGCAAATGTTGTTTGCACCTTTTCAGAATATCCTCTTTTTTACAAATTCTTAGAAATATCTTTGTTTTGATATAAAGTATATTTTTTCTTTGTTCTTTTTAAAAAATCTACAATGATTTTTTTATTTCTGTTGCATTAATGTTTCATCTGCTTTAAAAAGCACTGTATGGCCGTATGGTTTTTAATACTGACTCCAGTATTATTTTTGTGAACGTGCAACATTGCACTTTATGAACTTCTTTTGACAACCTTTCTTCTTTATTTGGGTATTTTAATAGGCCACAAATTCAGATGCGCAGCAGTTCTAATAATAAATCTAATGCATGTAGCTAATTTTATTTTCCTACTTTGTACTACTCAGACATGGCAGGATGGCAAGTCAAATACTCATAATTTCTCTTTCCTCTAACCCTTGTAAAATCAGTTTGTATGAGAATAAGATTTTTTTTTAAAGTGACAGCAGCGATTCTGGCTGGGAAGCAAGAGCAGTTGGGTGTCCGATGCTCCAGCGTAACCACGCTGCAGTACACAGTGGTCTGAGCTTCCCACAGCACCAGCGGCTGGCTCCTGTTTCCACACATGACATTACAGAGCCTAATCCTACCGACTGGCCAGAACTATAAACTAAACAATCCTAACCACACACACACGCATGCACATACACACACAATCTGCTATGTTTTGACTCCATCTCAACAATAATTAGTCCCCAAATGGCAGTTGACACTAGAATATCTCTCATTGAGACTGACTGAACACCATTACAACTGGGCTCATATTACTCACTGCCAGTCACAGTTATTACACACACATAGAAAGCCAGACACATATCCACATTCATACACACACCTACCATGACTGTTTGGTTCCATGGAAACACATAATGGCACTGCTAGAGACTTGATTGGAATAAATGGTAGTTAGTTGAAGGTAGAGTTATTTAGTGTTGTTGTTGTGGTATTTCTGTAATGTGTACAGTGTCTGAATTCATCATTTTAATGGGTATGAAAATTTCTTATATGCCATACATGTCTCTAGCTATTTGATAATAGCCATAATAATAATAATAGTAATATAGTAATAATAGCACTGAAAATCTCATCTCCCCCAGCCAAGTTCATGTCTTTTTTTTTTTCTAGTTTTTTTTTTTGCATTCCTTTACTTTCCTTACTTTGAGTGTTAGTGCATGAAACACGTGCTTCTCATCAGTTTCTAGTGGTCCCCATACACTGTGACGTTGAATCTATTTTTGAATCAGCATAATCCTTAATTTATTTATATTATTGTCATCCGCTGTTATTGTGCTCTGCTGTCAGCCACCCTCAACTGTGTGATTAAATTAAATTTGCAAATTAGTGTGGGGTCCTCATCCCTCCCCCCTAGCTGTGGAAAGGGGACATAGTTTCCTCATCTGGATCCTCTTTAAGACACTGTAATCAGCCTAGCAGCTGCGGGGTTTCTAATTGAGATGGTTGATAACCTCCTCGCCAACCACAGCCAGGCTCAATAACCATGACAAAATCTGTTATTACCACAGTGTGATGGGAGAAGCTGTGGAAAAAGTGAAACCCTGCGATGCCAAAGCTGCAAATTGCCATATTGTTTGTTTGCACCCTTTTCACTTTCTGAATCAGCCACACAGATACATGTTTGCAAAACAGATTTACCAGGAAGAGGACGAGAGAAATAAAAATGTCCCCAGTGCTGTCATCTTCAGTGCCTTGCCAAACCCCTAGTAATGAGTTGAGAGCTCACAGAAGGCAGCCTCCTCCACCGCATCCTGCTTGCCTCTCCGCTTCACCCCCCCCACCTCCACCCCCGCCTCCGGTCTTCACTTCCCATTCTCTCCCAGGCTGCAAGATGTGTGTGTCCTGGCGCAGTTGAGTGAAAGGAGGCCATGTGGGTGCTGGTGGCTTAGTTTGGGGTTAACACCAGTGACAGCTTCGCACAATGGTCCTTTTCCCCCCACATCGCTCTGTTCTGTGTGAAGTTCTGCTTACCAGACACTGATGTCATCTATGCACCAAGAGGCTCAATAGTTGGTGGTTGCTTTGCTATGGCTACATGCACAGTGACAACACTTTCAAACATACACATTCACTGAACACATGGTTGAACACATGTGCACAAGTAGATAGACTGTCGCAACACAGGCATTAGAGTTCAACACTAGATTTTTTAATCGTGCATGTTCTTTCACAAAATGTAATATTTGGTTTTGATCTGTTTAACCGTTGTCTCTCTGAACTGAAAATTCGATCAAATTCTAATTCAAGTGCTTGACATTGCCAAAAAAAGAACATTTCTCTGATCTTCCATTTTAGATTCATTGAACAAATCTCTTGTAAATATCACATTAATGTCTAAATTATGTCAGAGTGATCAAGCTTTTGTTGTGCTACATTTTGCCTCAGACTATGACTTGTTACAATCTTGCCATCCCCAGTTAAACAGATCCTGTTTTGGCTTACTAGGGTGACTCAGTGCCTCCTGGAGATGACGGTCCTTTTGCTGACACAGTGACTCTGGAGCAGAAGACCAGCAGCATCGGTGGAAACAGCGGGAAAGTCAGCCTTTGGATGCAGTGGATGTTACCCAAGGTCACAGTCAAACTGTTTGCTCCTGACCAAACCGCCAAAAAGACAGGTACCCTCCCCTCAACATCATAGCTACTGCTCTTTATCTTTTTTTTTTTTCTTTTTTTTACTATATGTTGCGGATTGATCATACAAACTTAGGTATGCCACGTTAATGATTTTCTGATCTAAAAACAGGATATATTGTGTATGTTTGTCTATGTTAATGGCAGCTGTAGCACAATTCAAATAATAATAAGCAAAAGAGAACTGGGTAAACAGCATAAGCAGCAATAATGACTATGTCCGAATAGTCATAACTTCTTTACTTGTTATTCAATTAAATTTGAAATTTATGTTATATACTGAGACAATAGGGTCAATTTTCAGATGGAAAGTGGGGCAAGTTTTTAATGCAAATTTATCAGTTTGAAGTGTGAAACAGTGCAGAATGACATTTAGAGTTTTTACAGGCTTGTATCAACACTTAAAGTGATCACCCCCCACCTCTTTACTCCATCAAATGTTAAGCACTCAGACGGGAAAGGCAGCTGGAAAGAAGGAGGGATGGAGGGAAAAGACAAATAAATAAATGGGTGATGAATCCCAAGCGAACCGCCTCTTGTCCTCTTTAGATTTACTGGGGCGATGAAAGGCTAGATTTACCTTTAATTGGTGGCTGTAATATTTAGCATCTGCCAACCAGATCGCCCAGCTTAAGGTCTTTAATAGTGGAAATGGAATGCTTTGGAGGACCTCACAGAGATGGTTTAACTTAGAGACATCCTAAATAGGCATTACTTTGGATTTGAACTTAATATGTGCCATCTGAGTTGCAAGATGAACTTACCACTGGATTTTCTGTGTGCAACACATTAAGCATTTTATTGAAAACAAGAGATGTGTGTATGCAATTTATTAGGTGCATAATATCACCAATGCATTCCTGGAGATAAGTAAGCCTCATATATGGCTGCAGACAATCTGTTATGATGTAATATGTTTTTCATCTGTGAAGGAAATAAGATTTTTGTCTTTCCAGAGAAATGGAAAAACAGCCATTCAGGCAAGTTGGTTCTCAAGTATAATGTTAAGGTCTTATGTGTTTGAATATTAGAGGTAGAAATTCTAGCACAAGTCTAAAGGAGCGCTCCTTAACTTACCAATCAGTCGGACACTTTCTTTCTTTTAAGATTAACCATTTGAGTCAAAGGGACTAAGGGTTTCCAGTAATCCTACAACATGGGTTTAGAAAACTCATATATCAATATCAGCACTGTGTTGGAGACTATGACTTTCTGACTATCTAAGAATTTTAGAGAGTTTTTTTCCACACAGTATCCACAATAACGCCGACAAGCGTTGTGTTTCAGTATTAATAAGCTATTAGGAACCTCTACATTTCTCAGAATCACCACAAGGCAACAGTACAACAACAACCATAGTTTCACATGCATGAAGTCCATTTTCCCAAGCTGCCCTGTGATTGTGGGACTTTCTCAGTGGAAACAATGAGAGAGACCCAACAGTTAAGCTCACAGGCTCGGTTCAGTACGAAGTTAATCAGTCCTTCTATGAAGCTTACTCACTTTGCCTGCAGTGGGTGGGTTTGTTTGCACACAAGGTGCACAGAGGCACGCACATGCAGCTTCAGGAACACACACACAGAGGAGTCTACAGGATGTTCAGTATTGTGTAAATACACACTCACACTCTCTCTCCTCATTATGACAGAGTGAGTGTTCTGGGGCCAGTTGGATATCATATTCATCTGAGAAGATGCTTTGCCTTCTGAAACACAAACAGAACACTGAAATACAGCCAGGCGTACCCATACAAAGTGTGTATGGGTACGCACGTTTCTTGTGTGTGTGTGTGTGTGTGTGTGTACAGTTGTGTGCCTCAACCTTCATCAGCCTGACACTGGTCCAGCTTAAAAAACACACTGAACATCCACTGTACGGGAACTGACCACAGCAGCTGGATTAGGGCCAAAGGCAAGACCTAGACAGGGTTGGCTACAGTGCAGGTCCTTGCCCACAGAAATGAAATTCACACACACAGATGTAACTTCCTCTCCAGAAGTCCAACTTCAGCTGTGTTGCCTATTTGCCAAGTACAAGGGTGGCTATACAGTATGCTGAAACAAAAACAGCGGGACTCACTCCTGGCATTCACACTAATGCAAACTCAGGATTTATACACGATTAGACTTTTGAGTGAATGTGTCTTTCCGTGGTGATTCACATCATAAAGTAAAAACATTCTAAAAAAAATAAATAAATAAAAATGTCTGTGTTTTGTGTTTCTGTTAGAGATCTGTGTCATCAGTGAGCTAGAAGACCTGAGTGCCTCTGTAGATGTCCAGGATGTTTATACAAAGATCAAATGTAAAGTGGGCAGCTTCAACATCGACCACTACCGATGCAGGTATGAGGACTTCTAGTACATGAATACATTTACATAATGTATATCAAAGACACATATGCATTTATATACGTCCATGTTTTTTGCAAAACTTTATTCCAGCAGTCAGGAATGGGTATGGTGATAATGTTGTGTTTAAATTATATAGCACCATTTGCGGGTAAACTGTAAAACTTGGGACCCTCCAGTTTAGAGGCAGTCCTTTTATCCACCAGGTCACCCTGCTGCCCCCACACACTTGTGCTCTGAATCCCAGAGTCTACTCACACACTTGTGTCCACACATACTTTTACCACCAATACCACTACCACTTCGTCTGTTCCCACTTGTGCTCATATAATTTTTTGGATTATCACCTCAGCGTCCTCGTCTTTCCAGACAGCTGTTGTGGCGGTGACCACAGACTAACAGACAGATGGACCAACAGACTAGATAGACGCGTTGAATAGATTCTGGGCCGGCCCAACTCTGACTCACAGAGCAGGGGAGTTCAATCAGTCCGTCAGTCATTTTCTTTCTGCCTGCGGTGTCTGAATTGATTCACAGAAACATTAACACGTTGTTAGGGGAGGAAAACCACTGGGCGATGTTCCACTGCATCCTTATGGTAATCTCTCCCCACGTCAAGTTCCAGTCAAAATGGGGTAATTTAGCTCTGGTTTCTGAAATGATGAAAGCACATACTGTACCATGGTGAAACTGAAAATGTGACTAAAGATTTCAATTTTTTTCCATGCCCCAGACACATGTTCTTCCGATTAATTAGAGAGTGGCCTTATTTTCAATATCTGAATCCTTATGTTTTCCCATTTTTCTTTCTCCTTGACTTGATCACATACTTCTGTGATTGAGTCAGCAGCTCCAAGTGCACACAGTGTACGTGCCTGATGTCCTGTACTGCTGGGAAGAGACCACTTAGCAGTAGGCAATTGCGCCTGTCTCGGTCTGAAGAGATAATGAAACAGCGACATAACTCTGCAGCATGTTGCAGACAGACTGTGTTAGTGTGTGTTTTTGGGTCTATGTGCCTGTGTGGATGTGTTCCTATAAGTGTCTCCTGCTGTGATCAAGTCAGACAGTGAAAAGGAGATGGACCGTGCCCGTTTTGAACCCCATCATTAACAATCAGTGCTCTTACCAGATATGATAATAGATATTGATTCTGATTTGCCAGATTTTAGAATCACCTTAGCTGAGTCCGAAGCATGTCAGTACAGGTCAGAGAGGGACTGAGGCGATCGTCTTGGCTTTGAACCCGTGTGTCTTGCAAGCATCTCACAGACCGCCTGTTCTGCTGTAGTTGGTTAATTTATATTCTGTGAGGCCACATGTGTTACGTACAGTATAAAGTATCAGCCTAAGCCAGGACGATGTCAGGGGTAAGACATTTTTAGTGCGTGAAGGTGCTGTGGGTCATTATATATAATGCTGTTCTGTTCTCCACAGGTGTGTGTCCAATTGCTTCTGAGACAGCGCCAACCCTAATCTCTTTAGTAGACCTCTATGCTTTCCTAAGTAGATAATAAGTCAATTTTCTCATTTTTAGGTTATTTCAGTTTAATGTGCGTTAAACAACATGGTCCCAACTCACTTTCACCGACCAAAGTTCTGGCAGGCAGAAGCACTCATTTATCTAAGCCAGGTTACAGTCATGGCTGTTTAGGACACAGTGGAGGACCTCTGGGCTCCTGGCCCACTCTAATCTGTATCATCCACATATACAAGGGAGCCCACATCGAGTGGAGTCTATATTAATCATTCTGAATGGATAATTGTTAGGTATTTCATCACCAAGCCCAGGTTATTTGTGTGCAGCGGGTCAGATTAGATCAAGCTTGACAGAGAAAATGTCTCATCTGGCCATAGCTATCTCACTGCTGGAAAATGAATGGAAAGTTAGATAGGGCGGGCAAGTATGGGAGGTAAATTGTAACCCTGACTGTATCAAAATAGGTGGAGGAGGAAAGAAAAAAGGTCGGGAGGGAGTCTACAAGGAATATAAAATACGTGGGCGTTGAACACCATAGGTGTGGGGCTCACTCATCATGGAGCAGAGGAGGGAAGTTAAAGCGGGACATAGAAGCAAAAAGGTGATGGGGTGATTGGGTATTGAATTCTGTATGAGTGTCTGCTGTCATGTGGGAAGTTCAAAAGATTAGGAAGCATCTTCCCATCCTTATTTCAGCCAGGTCTTCCCTAGCAACAGTGTTCATTTAACTGCTCTGTAACACAGACGCCCCCCGAGAGAGGACGGCTGGTGACAGTTCACCCTCATTCACTCCAAGGAGCAGCTCACACAAATTGAAGCTGATGTTTTCCAGCTGTTCCACAAATAGCTGGGAGCGAAGGATGACTGGATGGGAGCAAAGAGAGGGAAAAGAGAGATGGGAGAGATGAAGAGCTGTGGGGGGTCCATATGTATTAGTCACTCTTACAACTGAGACGGGAGATTACAAAGAGATATTCACATAGGCACACACAGAAAGAACACACACACACACACAAGATAACAATGCACAAAACCCAGTGACACACACACTCACCAGCAGGCCCACTCCGCTCCCACTAAACTCTCAGTCGTGGGGAGTAACGAAGAGAGGGTGGCGTAAAAGAAAACATGCAGATGGTGTTGAATCATTTCACTGTGTGAAACATTTTGCCATACATGTGTTGTGCATGATTTGGCATGATTTTTGTATGTGTGCATTATTATTTACTCTGGATTCAGTGTATTTGTGGTGCTGCAAGTTGAGACTGATAACTGCTGTGTTTGTCCTCAAGTAAACTTCTTTTGATTTCTGCCTTACAGGTGCTTTCTGCGTCTTACGGAGGCCTCCAAAAATAAATGGAAATCTGTGTAAAATACTATGCATCACGTTAACCATGTTAAGATATTTTCTCCAAGTTGATACACATATTGAATCTTTATTAATATCTTAAACCGCTATCTAAAATTTAGAAAGTTCAATGTGTGCCTTGAGGCTGTTGAAAGGGTGATAGGAATCTCAGCCTCACCAATCTAATTGCAATTTTGTAATTACTGTTGTCATTAATGAGATATTATCAGTGCTAGCGAAATAGCACAAGTATTCCCAGATGCCCATTTTACGCTTGGCCTTGTGTGTCTCTCCAGGCCAGGGCAGGGCTGGCACTCTGGTCACTATGAAGGACTCATTCTGCAGTGCAAGGAGACAGCTGTGGTGAGGCTACTGACTGTCCCAGAGCAGCCATGGCAGCCTTAGGCCTCTGTATCCTGTCCCATGCCATTCTGCTGCTCCTAATCAAAATCCCTCATCTCTGATAATGCTGGACAGACAGGAAAAATTAAAAAAAAAAAAGACATAAAACAAAGCACTGTGTTTGGCTATAGAGCAGGGTGTGCACAGGTATAATATGCTATACACCTCAAAAACATAAATGAAAACAGAGTAAAATTACAAAAACATTGTGTTCTGTCACAGTATACCACTCACCTGTCTCTCCAGTGACTCTGACTGGCTGAATAATCAAGCCAAGGAAATCTGGTGACAGCTCCCTTCTGTGTGTGTGTTGGAGGAGACTATGACCTGGGCCTCCATTCTTTTGCTGATGAAATCTCATTCCTGTGATGGTCTTATACTGACGCTGAGTAAAAATGAGCTGGATAGGGCAAAATTCAAGCTGTTTTGTCAAATAGTAAAGAATTTAAACTAAATAAATAAACTATGAACTCAGCATTTGTTTTGTGCACAAATCAGGGGTTTTAGGTGCCTCCACATTGTGCTTTTTCAATTCAATATACAATTTATCTTAAAATTAAGCTGTTGGTTCAGCATTTTTGTGCTGGATAGTATAAGACCATTCCACAGTATTTCACCTGGTTCATGCCGGTGCAGCTTCCTATGGTTTTAATCAGTTTACTCTATATTTAATTTTTCCAAAAACATCCTAAAGTTTCAAGCTTGTCTGGCTTCTCTTCCCATTTGATCTTTTTTCCTACTTGATCTGAATACATGCAATTATGTTCTCTCCCCCTCTCCCTGTAACTTCTTGCTTTCTCTGTCCTGTTCTGCGTCCACTTTCTCTCTCCTCTCCTTCCCTCTCCTCACCTCCAGTATGGAGGAGGGTGTTCGGAGCTCGGGCAGCTGTGGAGGAGTGGTCCTGTCTTGCACTGACAAGCTGAACAGACGCACTGTGTTGGTTCGACCCGTCAGCAAGCAAGACTCTTTTAGCCACTTTTCTGGCTTTTTCCCTCCTGTAAGAATCCAGCTTGTCTTTTTTTGTTGACTGTTTAACCTCCATTAACAGTGGTTTAAAGTATAGTTCTGTGGGTTCCTCAGAGATATTTCAGAAGCCAGTGCTTTGATTCGGTAATGCAATTTTAGAGATGCTTTGAAATGCTCTACTAGCAATAAACTGTAGTTATAGAATCCTCCACTTATAAAACATGAATCACATAACGCTCTAAAGGAAAATAACTTTACTGGTAGTGATATACCACATTTTGTCTCTGAGGAATTTACCCCACACTTAAGCATTTGGCTATTTAGTATTTATTTACCAAAGGATACATAAATTCAAAATTTGTTAGTTAATTTTATCAGCCACTATTAAGTCCACTGTTACTGGATGTCTTTGCAGACTTTTTACCTAGATGTCTAAACGTGATTTGCCTGTCTTTTAATCATGAAACGTTATGAGGTAAATTTCTTTCACTTTGTAGATATTTTAGTTTTTTCACCCTAGATTTTCCTTGCAAATCAATCATAAGATTGGAGATTGGGATTTTCTGATACATCAGAAATATTTCAGCCTCAGAACACATTTTTAAAGAAGTAGAAGAATGACTGTTTTTTGTAAAGGAGCTGGATTTTCAAATTTAATACCAATTACTGCAAAGAATATCATTTACTTTGCTGTAGAACCCTATTTTACAAAGCACTTTGAGATTTCTTT